TACTTTAAACAAGAACCTTCATCAAATAATGAAGATAAGCACAATGTAGTAGAAATCCTTGGTCTAGACACGACTCATGCGTATAACAGAAAGCTTATAGACACGATCCATGCATATGTATGTTGTGTTATAGAGAAAAGTACTTATATATATCAAGAAAAGTTTTTGGTCATGCTTGGCTACTCTGTACGCCACCAGAAATCGATTTTGCAACTAAATCGGTGTTTACTTGTGGCATACAGGGAGCCAGGCACGACTGCAAATTCATGTATGAAAAAAAAAGTAAAAACCCTAAAAATGTGAATGATGGATGGTTTATACGTGGGTCTTGGTTTGAATCGAATCCAAATCATGGTGTGTTTTTCATTTGGAGAAAAAAAAAAAATGAAGCTATATAGAGAAAATGTGGCGATTATTTGTTGTACTAAAGTTTTGAAGATGAGGTATAAGAGGAATGGTGGTACAGATATATATAGAGGAGAAAAAAGAATAAACTAAATTTGTTTATATAATATACAGTTACAAAGAATTCTAAAGAGAGAAAAAGTTGGAATCTGAAGACAAATATAAAATATTTTAGTAATTAAAGAATTCTATACACTTTCCTTATGGTTTTGAATTCGACTTGAAATCCCGGAAAGCAAAAAAAAACAAGGAAACCATGCTTTAATTTTAGTGGGTTAAACTTATCTATACAAACTAATATTATATATAGGGGATAATGCGAGATGGAAATCAAATATGGATTCTCTTTTGTTAAAAGGTAACAAAGAGAGACACAGCGTGCAACACTTCAGGGTTACTTTAATTTAATTTAATAGTTTTCAAGTAGATTTCTGATAAAGTTTTCGTTTTTCTATAATAGTTTTAACAAAATTTTCATTATTAAAGAGAAAAGAAGGATTTATAGTATTATACCCAAAAGAAAAATGATAAAGGAAAGAGTTTATGGGCCATGAATCATCATCATCACTACATTATGTACATGCATTTTCACCTCAATCGAGAATATTGGCTCCATGCAATTCAAATAATCCTTTATGGTTCTTAACAGTGGAAAGTATAGCTATCCAAACATTGCATATTTAAGTATTCATATGTTGTTTTCTTTAGATTAAAAACTTTGAACCGTTCCTCAAAGAAATAGCCATAAAAATTCACGTATATATCATAATGTTTTATACCAAATAGATGGTATTCTGAAAAGAATTTGAAACCCTCTTTTCACCTACCAATACTACCACCCTAAAACAGAAACCCTAACTCGGAGAAGCACCAAACAGCGAGTTCAGACAGGCCAATGGTGACCCTAGGTCAACCGGAACCTCGCTTCACTCTGCATTTCTCCGCTCATTGAACTCTCTCCAGTCTATAACGTCTCTCACCATGGGAACCTGAGGAATGGAAGGACCAACAACCATCTGAAACAACAAAAGGAAGCATCAAAACTTACTCCAGTATTTTACAAGTTACAAGAAACAACCACCCAGAAGCTTACAGATCTCTACTACAAAGATTGACACAAGATGCAAAGAAGACTTACCTACGAGGAGAAAGGAAAAACTACTCTTAGGAACACGAG